GGACGTGACGTAATCAATACATACTGACAATAACGCCTTACCGCCTTACGTGGGGTGGGACAGCATAAAGCGACAAACTATCGTCGAATTTGATATGCTGTCTCACCCCCGGTAAGGCGTTATTGTCAGTATGTATTGATTACGTCACGTCCACGATCGTGCCCGAGCAGCCCTAAGTATTTTGAACAGTATCCGAAATTGAGGAGATTTTGGTTCCGTTCGTTGCTAAATTTGCCCAAGCTACGATCAAACCATATTATTTAGAAAGAGAAATCTGTGTGAAAAGATGTAATCGAATTTGTTTTGGCGTACAAGAAGTTTGAGCGGAGATATTTGACTTTGAAGGCGATGCGGTCGTGGCGCCAGTGATTAGCCTTTTACTGTTATATTATATATAGATGAGCACACACAATGTAGGCCACAGAAAATATAACATCAACCGCTCTAAATGAGCTCATGGAGTAATTAAAAGAATGCAAAGGTATTATACTATCATGTCAACTATATTTTATTGTTAAAATGTATTTATTTGACTAATTTAAGAATGTTTTTAAAATAGTTTTGGTTGACTATAAATTTGTTTATAAAAACCGTTAAAAACCAGCAACACCTGATCATTCATTCTGAGATTGGGCCGCCTGTGGTCACCATTGTGACTACCGACACTTTTTATAAATAATACACTGATAGTTGAGCACCGAGACTCTGACTGACATATCATACTGTGTTTTCAAATATCTTTGGCTTTGGTTAAAAACCAACAATTATACATTCTTAAACATTTTAAATACTTCAGCCTACATAATTTCCATAATGATGGTCAATTATTCCACTTACTGAGAATACTATAATTACTTCTTTACCATAAAAATTCTTTGGGTTTAATTGAAGTATTATTATTCACAGCTGGTCTAAAAAATTGGGTGTTTTGATGCATCATAATTTTGTCAGTAAAATTAAAAACCTATTTAGTCCTATCCGGCTATGCAGAGTTTTACTTGTATTGAGGAGGTAGGGCTTAGAGAGACACAGAGGCTTAATGAATATGGTTACACTGAATTTTATCAGTAAGTAAAATTTCATTTTTTACATCCTGAAACCAAAAATCACCATATTATTCATGAATTACATATCACTTTCACTTGTCACAGAGTGAACATACCAAATTCAAACAACATTCACACTGTTTCTAGATGAAATAATCAACTGATGTTTTGGTTAAACAATATAATTCATGAGGGGAAAAAATAAATATTTATATGTGTGCACATAGTTTCAAGATCAGCTAACGGGATTGAAACCAGCTTTTCCCAGTTATGCTTGGAGCTGATGAGAACAGTTAGTTTTGAACACAAAATGGCATGGGACTTAATTCATCTAGGTGGCAATATATTGCCTTCTCACCAGCACAATTGATCAAGTCATACACATTCATTACTGCCAATCTCTTTATTATTTATGTCTCATTACAATTTACAAATACAATATATTTTCATTATCAGCAGTATCGTTACAACTTGTGCATCACCAATATCATCACAACTTGTATTTCACTACCATCATCATTATTCTCACCATTCTAATTTTATTAGTCAATCAGAATGAATAAAAAATTTCCTATTTTACACCTCTCATATATTACTTATTTGCCCAAGGTCAGGACCATTTCACATCACTCCAGGATCTGAATACCCTGCAATCACCTTTTCGATATAATGCTAAAAGAGAAACAAACAACAAATGTCTTACTGGCACACTGGAATATCATAATTGCCATAAAATAACTGTCATTTGAAACCACATTTTGCTGTAATAGCACAACTGCTCAAGGTTGCAAGGTAAATAATAGGGATGTAGTAAGGCCAGTATTACGGGTAATTGTCTTTTTACATTTTGCTCACAACCAAAGTCCAATTATATGGAGCAAAAGTTAGAATATCCAGCCACTTTTTATTACTCACTTAATCTTACACTTGACAAGTAAAATTGTCTGGTGTTGGACAGAGAAAAATAACAAAGTATGCCATATTTGATTATCCCATATTCCCATTACTGTAGTGTGACCATACAAGACTCTCCCTTGGATGGGTAAAATTGGGGGGTACAGACCTCTCAACTTTGCAGAGAAGTTAAGAGTGAGACTAGTACCGAAAAAATTTTTTCCGGAAAAATTATTTCGGCGACCCCCCCCCCGCCAAAAAATTTTCGGTCAGTGTACCATTTTAGGGGTCAAAAAAATTTTCCGGACTTACCAAAATTTTTATGCGTTAGATTTACTAAACGTGGCGTGAGAGAGAGCATGAGACTGAAGCGAATTGCGTGAGACTCACGCCGAATGTGTGAGAATTGAGAGGTCTGGCATGAGAGCGTGAGACTGAAGCGAATTGCGTGAGACTCACACCGAATGCGTGAGAGTTGAGAGGTCTGGGGGTATGGAGATTTAATGGCAAGAAGTGGGGGAAACATTTTCTCCAGTAAAATTTATGGGGGCCATTGGAAATTTATGGGGGCCATTGGAATTTTATGGGGGCCATTGGAATCATCAACCAGAGTATTGAGGTGATAAAGAAAAGAATACCTGACTGTAAGATTAATGTAATCTAACTTTCTTGTCACACAAAGTTAGGTAATGTTGGCATTTTCACACTTTTCTATTATTATTGTACTATTCTGTTAAGTATTTATTGGATGAGTCCATAGATATAATAAATAGACTAGATAGTGCATCTCTAATGTAGAAATTGAAGCTAAAAATCTCAGCGGTTTCTCCCATGAGAGTAAGCCGGCGGCCATATTGGATCTTCCCATTCCTTATTATGAGATCTATAAAGTTACATCGCTAAAGCAGCTAAAGACGCTGTAAAAACCTTTTATCGATGAATTTTACATTGGAATATCAAAGCTGGGACACTTCGCCAGAAATATGTGTTTACAGAAGAATATTTCTTACACTTTATGGCTATAAAGATGTAACATTGCTAACATTGTTAGTGTTTTTCGAGACAAACGGAATATGAGTGTTTCTCGAGACAGGCGGTTTATATGCCAGGTCCAGTGTATAAATAAAGAACAAATGGTGAGTTTCTTCATTTCTTTTAACTATGTGTTGAAAAACAAGTTTCGTGTCCGTGTAAGCATCTTTTGATTCAGGGTTTACTTGATTTTAATAATAGGCTTGTTTATAACATAATGTTTTATAGCAAACAGACTGAAGCAATTTACTTATTTTAATACACCAATTTGTTATAATATAAACAACATAGTTGTTCTGTATGTTCATTTGCCAAAATGCCATTTCAACATTTTATTATATATATTTTCATTGATGGTTGAAAAGCACTAGTTTGTTCAACTTTTTTCTAATATTTTCCCCCGATCCATTCTCTGTGGCCTTCTTTCCAAGATGGAAAAGCTTCACCTTGCAATAGCACTTGATGATTTTCTTTGTCAGAAGTATGATATGGTTTTGATCCACTGGAGAATCAAACTGATGATCATTGAGCTCCTTGAACAAGCTATGTATGCACAAAACACTCAACACAGCAACAACAATTGCATCTAGAATTCCTGTTGCATGGGGAAGCTGTCCACATGTTACTGCTAACATTCTCTGAAAACATTTTTCACTCTCTTCACACACTTTAAACACACTCGGTGTTGGCATGAATAGTCCTCCACGATCCTTTAGAGCAAGGAAACTGGAAGCAGCATGTGTTCTTTCCGAACCAAGCGCCTCGCAACATTTGGTACAAATTATACTGGCTTTGACTTTCTTTGCCACATATCCAGCTATATAGGAGATTGCAGCTTTCTTGTATGGAGATATTGTAGAAATATTTGGGCAATCAGAGTAATCCTCCATTTCAGCATGGCTCACCTCCAGCAGATCATACTTTCGTATTAGAGCAGCATTTGTAATTGTGACCTCCTTACCATTCACATTGCATGAATCACCATTGGCACTAAGAATGTCTATTGGGTCTCGTTTCTCACAGTTACCGTTTTCTCCTTCAATGTGGCTTCGTAGCAACAAGTGCTTGTAAGCTGCAGTAAACTGTTGTGTGGTGGGATTGTTGTTGAACCTACCACAAGCACGAATTGCACCGAAAAACAACTCTAAATGATCTTGACTCATTTTGTAAGTAAGTATATACTTCAGTGGGGCATGTTCCAATTCGACCAAGTCATGAAACATCTGGTTCATGCTCTTGATGCCTGCTAGAAATCCCACAAATCCAGTCTTCCGCTTTGTCTTGCACATTAGTTGACCAGAAGTGTTTTTCAGTCCGAGTATGTATTCATACACATCAGTAAGGAATGGATCCCATGTGGTCTTGTTGGTTAAACTCATTGGGGCTTTATAGCCTTTGGCAAGTGGGTTTCTTGAGTTAAGAATGTCAAACAGTTGATTGAAATTTCGGATAAATGTAACTGTTGCTTCAGATCCCTGAAATTCTGGTATCTTTAATGTATTGGCACAAAATTCTATGGCATCTGCCACACTTGCACTAAGAGACTGTGCAGCCAAATTCACTTTCATCTTTTGTTGTTTCCAATTAATATGTGCTTTCTTCAGTTTATTTCCAAGCCTGAGGCCTTCTTCATCTTGCAACTTTTGTAATTGTATCACATATTCCCATTGAATCTTTCCACCATATTTGTCGATTAATATCCCCCACTCTGCAAGGGTATTTCTGACAAGCTTCAGCATATGACAGATGTCCAGCAAGACATAGATTCGCTGATTTGGATCTTGTGGGTGAATGAAGTATGTTACCATCTTTAAAGGATTTAAACAAGCACCAAGAGCAGATAACATACTAAAATGGCCCAATGGATACAAACTTTAACAAGGTTTGCCCGCTCCTTTCCACTTAACCCGTCAACGAAAAAGTACCCACATGGTACTTTCCACGCGTTCTCTAAGCTGACAACCATAAAAACAAGTGCATCCTTTGCAATGGGTAGGGTGTCGTCATCTGTGCCACTGCCAAGGTCTACATAGCCTTGATACCTTTTCCATCCCATGCAACATGCTTTTTAATTGCCATTTCATCTAACATTAGGGAGCACATTAATTATTTTCCATGTTTCTTTGCTTCTTCTGACTTCAGCTTTAAAGCATTAAATGCTGGCTCAGTGAATCCAGGATCGGCTGGAACTTTACTGTACCATCTTCGAATTTGTGATTGACTGGGCAAGGCTAGGTTAAATGTTTTCCGAACGAATGAATATGCCTTTGCTGAATAGAACTGCAGTGTTAATGCAAATGATTTTAATTCAGGAGAGTATGCGCATCCTTTCTGTGATTTCTTTTTTGATACCATTCTTTTTGTTATGGCTAGTAGCAGTCCTGTGAATGTCTGGTTAAGCATGTGCTCACAGTATGTTGAGATAAGATCTTTTTTCCGGAGTTCATGCACAACTTCTGTTAAGGAAAATACCTTTTTCTTCAAGCGCCGTGACCGTTGTTGCGATGTTTTCAGTTTCCTCTTCAGGGTTTCAATCTTCTTATTTGATTTTCTTAGTTTCTTTTGCATTTTTGTGATGTTTGCAGTAATAGGGTTGACATTGCTATCCTGAAGAATGGATGTTGGATTTCCTTGAGAAAGCTTTTCTGTTGATGAGCTCTGGTTATCATCACCATCCAGGGTCATATCTTGACAACATGGTTGTTTTTCTGAGGGGCTTTCTTCAGCTTTATCAGGGAAAGGATCCTCTTGCATAAGTTGGATTTCCTGGTCTTTATCTACGTTTTGATCTAATACAGTTTCCAATACCGGGCGAGTCTCCGCCATTTCTGATCCGTAATCAATTCGTCTTGAAGGTAACTTGCGATCTTTGGTAACCTGAATAGCAATTTTTGTTTCCATTTAAAACAACTGACTTACAGTATTTACATTGATTCTAAAATGACAATTCAATCAGTCCACCTTATCACAACCCGCACGCTCGATTACCTATATATACATGAACTTACGGTTACAGCTGAACAGCTAGCCTCTGTAGCTCAGTTGGTTAGAGCGCTGCACCAGAATTGCAGGGCCGTGGGTTCAATTCCTACCAGAGGACCTTGTGCTGCATTTTTTGCAGTCGTTCCTGGTTAGGTCTTAAAATGTATATATTCTCACTTGGATTACAAACCCTAACATCCCAATATTTTCTACTCTTACCTTACTACAATTCTCAATATTGCAAATAATAAATCTTCAAAAAGAATAATTTGTCTCAATTACTACTTTGCAGGTGAAGATAAATTTTCTCATGAAAGGGCACACGCATGAGGACTGCGACCAACTGTTCAGCAGATTTGGCGTCAAACTCTCTGATCGTAATGTTGTTACAGTGAAAGGTATTATAGTCTTTAAAAGACATGATGATTGATGAATGTATAAAGTTTCTTAAGTTTAAGCATCTCTTTTTATGTATCCAATGCTGCACTATTGTGCTTTTTATTAGATCTTACAAAGCACTTTGAAGAGTCATACACACCTAGTCCAGTTGCTGTGGAATTAGAGCACATGTATGACATTTGTGACTGGATTAATTGCGCCTATCAAATGTGAGCTTCATAACATAAACCCACATACATTTGTCATAAAGAAGAATGAAGCTGGTAAAATTGTACTAAGATACAAACATTGGAGTGGCGACACCGAGTGGCTTCCAAGTAAAGATGCTTGTGACGGAATTGAAATACTTAAGGAGGTAGTGTAACTGTATGAATTAAATTGTACGACCCAGTTGGTTTGAAAAACCATATGAAGTGAAAGCAGTTTATCATAGGGTGTGTACATACTGTAGTGGTAAATATGCTTCTTAATTTCTCTTGCAGGATTTATCGGTTTTGAAAGATGTTCCATCTTTATTGTCATCATCGCCAGACAAAGTTGACTTGGAACACCTAAGAAGAGATATTCCAAAGTTTTTGAAAAATTCTCGAGTAATAAACGATGAGCAGAAAGAGTGGTGGCAAACTTTCTTCGAGAAAGCAGATGAAATGTACATGTGGCCGGGACATAATAGATTCGTGAAAACTGTTTAATTTTCTTTTATTTTGAACATGTACCCCAAAATACGAGGGCGACGGTTACAAGCTATAAAAGTTAATCCAATATAACTAAGTAAACAAAATATTAAAATACACACTTCCTGTATCCTACAATAAACATGCCGATTTATCAAATACAAAGTAATATATCTCCCAAAAGTTGATGAAACCATAAATATCTCCGTCTATAATGTCAAACTTAAGACAAATCATGCACCGTTCTAAAGAACTATTTACACAAACTACTCAAAATGACCATACTTCAACAGCTATTACGATTAATATATTCATGCGTATATTTTTATACCTTTAACATGATTATAATACATCAATACTTCTATAATTACTGGATAATAACGTTAACTTACCGGGCAACTGCCCGAGAATGTTAATTCCCTTTTACTGTTGTTCTTTGCTTCGATATAAATGTTTCTTTGACGATAAAATACTGAATAATATCTTTTGAAATCGCTTTTATATTTGTTCAACTGCATTTTGCTGCATGGCGTGTTCATGACGTCACAGGAAGTGATCATAACAGGAAGTTAACTAACAACAACTATTAAGGTGTCTCTGAGTCTCTCTGCAGTTTATTAAACCTGGCCACACTCTCCCCTGCTAACAAGGTGTCGTCCTCGACCTAACTATATAACTGCAGAGATCACAGAAATGCCAGTTATAAGCACACATATAACTAGGACATAAACATTAAAGTCTCGATACGATACCGTCAGTTGATTGCATGTTGGATTTGATTTGCTTTGGTGAGTGTTCTGTCTTTTCGCCGCTATCAGTTTCGATCTTCAGAGAGTTGTTGCTGGATCATTGTCTGGAGTTGCTTAAATTTGTTCGCCTCTGGGTGACGAAGGGGTATTAACGAGCAACATAAACTCCGATTCGGTGTCAGTTGAGGACGTATCTTCATGAATGGCTCGGTTGGGAACGCATTTAATCGTCATTGGTTGTATCGGTTGAGGAGGGTCACTCTTCATGGGGCATGGTTGTAGTTCAACACGACTGACCTTCTTTGGGGCACCTCGACCACTATAGGGTACAACAGTATATGGTCCACCATCTTTGGTCGGTACTTCAGTCACGATAAACATGGTAGGTTCCCATGCATCTTGGATCTTGTTTCGCCCCAAAACTCTTTTTCGTAGGTACACTAACTCCCCAACTTTGATATCTGGCGGATACACCTTTGAATCGTTTCTTTGCTTTCTCTTCTCTGCTGACTCGCGTATATGCTCCCCTGCTTTTTCCCAAGCGTACCGCAGGCAGGTTTGATGTTTAGTAAGCCACTCATTCGCAGACTGTTTCTGAGGTTCATCCTCTTCTTCTCCGAGGAGTAAGTCAACTGGTAACCTTGGTGATCTCCCGAAAAGAAGGTGATATGGACTGTAACCGGTTGTACCATGCGGGGTACAGTTGTAGGCATACAGTAACTCAGGAAGGTACTCGGTCCATCGACGTTTCTTTTGAGGAGGCAAGCTCTTAAGCAAATCATGAAGTGTGGGGTTAAACCTTTCACATTGTGCGTTGCCTTGTGGGTGGTAAGGTGTTGTGCGGCTCTTCTTTATACCATAAATTCGACACAGTTCCTGAATGATTGCACTTTCGAAATTCCTGCCTTGGTCCGAATGGATCCGTTCCGGTGTGCCGTACTTTTGAAACCACTCCTTGACAAGCACTTTGGCAACTGTGGATCTCTAAGCCCTGATGCCCCATGTCGTTGTGAAGACTGTGAATTACTCTCTCCTTTAGAATCTCAGGTAGCACCAACTGTTGTACCTCCTGCTGTTGTGGATCAATAATCGTTCAGTACAATACTCCGTCCTTCAGTTCTAACCGTTTCCATTGCTGTAACAAGACACAGGTACCAATAGTGAGATCTTTCTTCTCCTTTGCATCGGGTTTCCTACCAACTGTCCAAAATTTCAGGAATGCACTTATCGTTGGATCACTTTGTTGCATCTGCATTAACTCGGACTTGGAGTAACTTGGAAATGACTTCGTTCCTGACTTAGGTACGTTATGTTCTGTGTTGGCCACATACGTTTGCTGAGGACCTTCAAGGGTTATGTTTGCACTTTTTTCCAAAGTGGCACTAACACAATAGGAGATGCATAAGGGCTGTGACTTTCGCGAATGACTGAGCTATCAAGTAATTTCTGAATGTGTTCCTTCACCTCTTGGTATTGATTTGGGGGAATTCGTCTGTAGGGTTGCGTAACCGGGATGTCATCCTCCGTCCTAATTTTGTGTTTAACCGTCTCTGTGTAGCCAATGTCATCGTCTGACTTTGAAAATACGGAAGCATGCTTGTTCAACAGTGCGTCCAGTTTTTCTTGCTGCTCTGGGGAAAGTCCGTTGCAAGGACATTCAGTATTGTCCACGACGTCTGGAATTGATGTGTTCTCGCTATCTTGCACCGTAACCATTTCTTCGTTGACTGACACTCTCTTGAATTCCACACCACTTTCGATGTTGCTGACTGCGTGAAGAACACCTATCCTTGTCCTTGGCTGGATCCACAAATCATCATTGGTTAGATTTTAGGTGTTGAGTACCACTAGGTGCGACAAATGTTGTCCAACAACTGGTTCCACCATTGCCATCTCGCACTTCACTTGACCACCCCAACCAGTGGCAGGTATTGTTGTTACCGAACTAGCTGGGATCCGTACTGCACGCTTTCCTGCAACTCGAACGATACCTCGTACTGATGTATTTGCACGACGTTTGGCAGCCTGGATTGGCTGTGACCATACAGGATCAACTTTACTTAAAAATTCCGTTCCCTCGAACTTAGCTAACACTTGTCCCATTTCACATAGTACATTCATTCCAAGGAGACCTGGTACGTCTCTCTTCCATGCTCTCATAGCATCATTGGCAGAATCCTTTACGACCAGTATTCCTCGTCTGGGCACGTTTAAGCCGAAAGCTTCAATGTCAAGTTCGAAATACCCAAGGTAGGGTATTTCTAACCCATTTGCTGCTGTCAGTTTTAACCACCCACTGGTTGAAAGTAGTTCCTGTCCCTTCTGGTATGCTATGAGAGTCTGCGCCTTCCCCTCCTACTGTCCGACTCGCGACTGTGGAGGGAGACCGTTTGGCGCTGATGTATCTTGGCTATGGACATACGATGAGGGTGGGGCAGTATTGCGTGGTGGGCCATTGGATGGGGGAAGGCCGTCATTCTGGCGTTGACTTGTATTTGCAATGTGTCCGACTCCTTGGCATTTAAAACAAATTCTGTTCCCTCTTTCGTCAAAACCGCGGAGGGAGGGGTTTCGGCCGCCTCTTCCTCCCTGATTCCGCTGAATATTATTGTTGGATCTGGAAAGGGAAATAAGGGTTTGGGACAAATTATCAATCGACTTACGCTGCTCTTCGAGGGCTTGCAATACTTTATCCATCTCTTTGTTTGACTGTGTGGTTGAAACCGCTTCACTTGATACATTTCTATTTGTAGGACGCATCTTTTCATCCTCCTCTGCCCAGTGTAGAGCTTCTTCTCGTACTTCTAGAAACTTAGAGCTGGAGTTGCTTCGTACCATGCGCTTTAATTCCTTCCGTAGAAGTGGGTCTCTCACGTTGTCAGCAAATTGGTCGCGGAGGGCCTGATCACGAGAAGGTATGATGGTGGTGTCTCGCGAATAAATTCGGTTGTAAATCTCACACAGCGCATGCGAGAACTCCCTCGGGTTTCTGTATCCTTTTGCTTTCGCTCGTAGAATGACTTTAGTAACTGTGGTGTGGTTCTCCGCTCGCCAAAAGCCTCCAATAAGATAGTGCAGATTTTATCAGAAGTGTCACGTTCGGGCATGTTGTAAAACCTGGACTGGATGGACTTGTAAAACCTGGACTGGACTCATTTGTAAAACATGGACTGGACTCATTTGTAAAACCTGGACTGGACTCATTTGTAAAACCTGGACTGGACTCATTTGTAAAACATGGACTGGACTCATTTGTAAAACATGGACTGGACTCATTTGTAAAACATGGACTGGACTCATTTGTAAAACATGGACTGGACTCATTTGTAAAACATGGACTGGACTCATTTGTAAAACATGGACTGGACTCATTTGTAAAACATGGACTGGACTCATTTGTAAAACATGGACTTGCACAAAATTATACTAGTCAAAAATAGACTATGACAAAGGGTGGCCACTGGAGGTCAAATTTTTAAAATATGGCAGCCATATATATTTTTCTTTTCACAGTATTCAATTTTAGGTTTTTGAAATGGAAGAACAGTGTTTTTTTAACTAAATATGGGTCATTTAGTGCCTAAATGAAATGTAATTATTTTATTAAACCGGTAAGTATATATTACTTATATTATTTATGTGTAGAGTCTGTAAGACACAACACTACTGTAGCGGAGACTTCAACACAGCAGTCAACACAGCAGGGGTCATCGTAAGGCCTGCCATTTTTCAAAATGTGCAGTTCTAATTGGAAAATGGGTAGCTCTAAATCCTAAAATGGGCCGTTCTATAATTGAGTTTTGGAGAGAAATGCTGAACTTCTAAACATTCAATAATCCATATTTAAAAGATTATCTACAAAGAAAAAGGAAATATCGATGAAGTGAGCGACTTAATTATAGTTAACATATACACGGATTTCAGAAAATGCACCATTATAATCTTTGGTAAATCTAAAATTTTTCCCAAAATTTATTCTCAGAATGCTGGAAATGCCATTTGAGAGACCTCAATTTCAAAATTTTTCAGGGGGAGAGCTATCCCCGGCACCCCTAGAAGGCATAATGCCCACAACACACACTGCATCTGGAAGCAGCTATGAAATGGGCAGTTCTAAATTTTTCTTAGGATGACCCCTGCAACATATATGTGATATATTATGTTCTGTCACCTTATTATATAAAAATTGACAGAATCAGTTTAGTTTGTTTGAGTGATATATTTGCCATATTTGATCTGCCATATTTCCTTTATTTAGAAAAAAAAACCCACCCAAATAAGCCCCCTTTCTAATAATCCCCCTTTTAGGTGAAGATTTTTATTAAGCTCCCCCCTCTCTTTATTAAGCCCTGCCCCAGGTTAATAGAAAATATGTGTTAACACATCATAATGTCAGCTAGACATATGTCACTAACATCTTAAAACATATATAGCCGAATAGTTGAAAAATATATAGTTCAACATCTCATTAATTAAAACCCTTGTGTTAAAATTGTTAGAATACATAGTCATTTTACACACAATTTTTTGTGCTGGAGGAAAATTATCATATAATTTTACCAAGAAACTATGCATGCGCCCCTCTTAAATAAGCCCCTCTCTCAAATAAGCCCTCCCCCCTCAAAGGGCCGGAAAAGAATAATAGAGGGAATACGGTATCACAAAAACTAAAAATACTTTACCTTATTCACACTTAAGTTTGCACTAGTCACTAGTTATAGTATCACTGTAACAATTCTCAATCCTCACAAGTATAATTAAGAAAAGATTAATAAAAAGTAGCCTAAAAAAACTTTTAAGGAGCCAATACCAGTTGACTTTGACTTTTAGTCTTATAATGGTAAAATTGAAGACAATGGTGCCGGCCCGGTGAACCACTGACATTGACTAGCAGAAATATTATAAAATGTACTTATTCCTTAGATACTATATTAGCTACAGAATATATCATTCTAGATAAACTGTACAGTAATTGCAGTTGTTTTCATCCTAAGAAAAATTTAGAACTGCCCATTTCATAGCTGCTTCCAGATGCAGTGTGTGTTCTGGGCATAAGCCTTCTAGGGGTGCCGGGGGTAGCTCGCCCCCCTGAAAAATTTTGAAATTGAGGTCTCTCAAATGGCATTTCCAGCATTCTGAGAACAAATTTGGGGAAAAATTTTAGGTTTACAAAAGATTATAATGGTGCATTTTTTGAAATCAGAAATCTGGGTATTAAGTATTCTATAAGTCGCTCACTTCATCAATATTTCCTTTTTCTTTGTAGATAATCTTTTAAATATTGATTATTGAATGTTTAGACACTTTCATGTTTGGAAGTTCAGCATTTCTCTCCAAAACTCAATTTTAGAACTGTGAACTACCCATTTTCCAATTAGAACTGCCCATTTTGAAAAATGTGAGGCCTTAGGATGACCCCTGCTGTGTTGACTGCTGTGTTGACTGGTGTGTCTTACAGACTCTACACATAAATAATATAAGTAATATATACTTACCGGTTTAATAAAATAATTACATTTTATTTAGGCAATAAAAAAACACTGTTCTTCCATTTGAAAAACCTAAAATTGAATACTGTGAAAAGAAAAATATATTTGGCTGCCATATTTTAAAAATTTAACCTCTTGTGGCCACCCTTTGTCAGAGTGATCATAGTCAATAGGTTTCTATTTTTGACTAGTTTAGTTTTGTGCAAGTCCATGTTTTACAAATGAGTCCAGTCCATGTTTTACAAATGAGTCCAGTCCATGTTTTACAAATGAGTCCAGTCCATGTTTTACAAATGAGTCCAGTCCAGGTTTTACAAATGAGTCCAGTACATGTTTTACAAATGAGTCCAGTCCAGGTTTTACAAATGAGTCCAGTCCAGGTTTTACAAATGAGTCCAGTCCATGTTTTACAAATTCCATTGTTCTGAGTCCAGTCCATGTTTTACAAATGAGTCCAGTCCAGGTTTTACAAGTCCAGTCCAGTCCAGGTTTTACAACATGCCGTACGGGCTCATACGGACCGCTCGCGTAGCCAATCAGATTGCAGAAAAGCGTAAAATATGATTTCGGACCGCAAGAAAAAAAATAAATATTTATATTAAATTGAATAGATGTGATGTTTTAAATTGAATGAAATTCAGGAGAATGAATATTGCTACAAATGGGCAGGCATACACTGGACAGTAAACATGCGATAAAACCCTGTCACAGAATAAAGATCAGTACCAGAAGGGCCACTCAGCGGTGCAACGTGTCGCCATTTTTCTATGCAAAAATATGCAGTTGACTGGCCAGAAGGCGGGGCCTTCGGCCAATACAGCGCGTTTATTGGCCAGAAAATGTAATCGACTGGCTAGGAAGATGGCGGCCAGGGTGACAGAAACTTCAAAGCTTCCGACGTAAGTGGCCCTTCTGTGTGCCTTATTCTGTGACCCTGTCTAGACGACCTGGCGTCAAGGATAATGATTGGATAATATTTTTAGAATATGATGCATTAAGCCATTATACATTTTTTGCATTCTTTATCCGAACCAGGAATCGCTAACAAATTCACCAGAGGTTTTTCCTTTTCCTTCGCGCGTCTTCTCGCATTTTGCGTTCGCCAAACCTAAAAAAACCTCTGGGCCAGGGTAGGGGGGAAGGGGCGGAGGCAAAAAAATTCAAATAGGTTAAAATGGGGCCATCAATTATAGTGAGTTTGCCCAAAGGAGTGAAATGGAAGGCCACATTTATAACATTAACTTTTAATTTTTACCCTAACTTTAACCACACTAGCTACGAAGGTCAGTCTGATTATGTAAATGTAACTACACATTTTGGTGACTATCCAAGCACCATTTTCTGCACTTTTGGATCGTCTAGACCAGTGGTTGAGGCGATGGATAAAATACGACAGGTTTTCTTTACAATCATTCTGTTCAATGGGTTATTTACAGTTGTCGTCGCGTTGAGGGCCATTACATTTAATGTACACCCCTATGGACGAGGTCAATAGAATTTGAACCCCTAAGAAAAAAAGATCGAAGTGCCGACACAAACACCCCCAGAAATTAAGAAATTTTTGCCTTACCCCTCGCAAGACACAGGCCTTAAAATATCGGTCGGTCACAGACATTGTCCAACCCATTCGTAAAATTGTCCGACGTAGAGAGGAAACCATGCACCGGACATTCTGTCCGACCTAAGTGAAACTGAGGTTTATCGTTTGTCCGACCTGAGTGTATTTGTGTCCGACCTAACTGTAGCTTTGTCCAACGTAAATCCAAATGTACCAATTAGTCCAGGACTAGAGGCTCGTATGTTAAATAGAGAATCAGAGTACTATTGTATAAAAGATGAACTGGAAATGTTGTTTTAACGTAGTCGAGCGCGGGGTGGCGAGCGAAATGGTGAAGTGGAAAACGGGCTTAAGTTGTCGATTTGGCTTGGAAATGAGTATGAAAGAAACAAATTATTCAATATTTTCACAACATTTACCGTTCAGAATTAATACATTGTGCTGATATTCATTTGTGTCATTCAGACTTATTTCCGAGTCAAAACTGAAATGAAGGTCATCGGACATATGTCCGACCCAAACTCAACGTCATCGGACATTTTGTCAGACGGCCCTGTAAAAGATATTTTAAGGGCCTGTTTACATGGAGGTAGGGTGACCCTATCAGGAGGGTTACCCTAGCAAGCGGGTCAGAAAATAGCGAGCGTTTACATGAGGTAGGGTGACCCTACTGCTAGGGCTATGTTGCCGGATAGGGTAACCCTACCTATGCGTGGTCGCTAAGCGGTCTGTATTAGATAAATGGCGCCGAAACGCAAAGTTTTAGCGGCAAGTTGTGTAATGCTATTTACTGGGCCTTTGCTTGCTGCATTTCAATGTTGTGGTCTGTTATTTCCGACGTTATTTCAATATCG